AGTAACAAGTGCCTTACTAGTAGTAACAAGAAGCTACTCGTAACAAGTGCATCGCTTCTAGTAACAAGTGCCTTACTAGTAGTAACAAGAAGCTACTAGGGGCATCCATTCCATTCCATTCCGTCCCATTCCGTCCATCCCACCGGCGAGGACCCGGGCGACGCCTGGCACTTCGGGATGGATTTCTTGGTCGTCGCATAACTGGACCAGAGCGGCCCGTTCTCGATGCGGTGCACCTGAAGTCGTGAAAACGTCTTGAGGTGAGAATGATGACTTGGTGTCTTGCTTTCGGAAGGCCCCCTTGGGGTTGGTGGCAAACGTTGGAAAGATGTTCTGTCTAACTTTGGTGTCCTTTGCCTCACCTTCTGAACTTCTTCCATTCTAGAAACACCTGGAGTGAAAGTAAAGTAGATGATACAACTATCAGCAATGGAACGATCAGGGGATCAAATCCTGTCTTGACCTGGCTCTCGAATGTGTTTGTTTCCGGAGCGGAGAACTGTGACTGTGATCCTTCGGAATGACCATGACATTTGTCATTCCCTGTTGCGGCTTGGATGACTTGGGTGAGCTGAAAAGGGCAAGAAGGACCTTCCCAAAGCCACCTAACATGTCGTGCCCAATGAAACACTATTGGCTTTCTGTGATCCCTTCTGGGTGAATGGGTAGTGTATGTTATCCTTATGGTGGAGTCGCAGTTACGAGTCCATTGGAAGAACACACAAACCCTCCGGGCGCCCAAAATGGTCAATGCTTGCAGTATCTCGCGACGTGATCGCCCTTTCTTTACGCCACGGACGCCCAAACGCGCGGTCCGAAACGCGGTCCGGGTCATCGCGGGAGCCTGGGTCACCCGGAAGGAGCGATGACTCACCCATTTCCCATCTTCTCCTTGACCCATATTCTCCTCGCGACCGTTGGACCCCGATTTTTGAGACGAAGCAAAATCGAGGGCTCTTGGAGCCTCTAGTGGCTTCTCCATCTTTTGGCGGGGGAAGAGCGCAAGCGATCTTGCCAAGGTCACGCGAAAAGGCCGTTGCATGCTCAAGTCGACTTCATGGCCTAAGTCCTAAGTTTCAACTATCGTCCCCGCTCCACCTTGCCCCCGGGCTCCGACTGTGTGCACAAATCGAAGAGCTGCTGCACGATATCACGCAACTCTTCTGTGACATCCACCTCAGATATCATCGCCCAGAATATTTTCTGGGGCCTTGGGCTGGAGTCCGGGCCCTTGAGTGGACGATGTGGCGGAGAAAAAACACGAAATTGGAGTCCCCAGCACGGTTGTTCCGCACGACCGTGGGACCGTGGCGGAGGCATGCTGTATACATCAGCTTTACATGCCTCGGTCCCGGGTAGAGGTGTCCGACGTTGACGGGTCGTGCGGTTGGCGGAACCCAGGAATGCGGCATTTGGGCCGAAGCCCAGCTATGACGGGTATTCCACCTGAATTTGGTTTCATGCTCAGTGAACAGTCAACGAACACATCCTGTATCCACATCCAAATCCACCCAGCATTTTAGAGACAGCAAAAGTGAAAAAAAGAAACCAGGCAGGCTGGTGGCCTAGCACGCTCACCTGCATATCCGAATTTCACCGTTGCAGTCCCAACATCACTATATGTTTGGCAGAATTATGTTGCACCTGGTGAAGACTTCTTTGACCAGAAATGTCCTGAAACCAAAAAAAGGGTCGTCACCTGAGAAGCGCAACCCTGCAAATAATGACAAGTGGTTTTCCCCATGGCTTTCTTCGACAGCGGGAACATGTTGCTACCGTTGGTTCCCTCCAATCCCGGCCTCAGAGTAGTAGTGGTCCCTGAAAGGGCTCCAGGGCCTGCAGCAGGTGATGATGGTGAAATGAAGAGAACATATTGATAAGCAATCCAATCAAAACTCCCAAATCCGTAAATAGGACGGCAGAAACCAGCAAAAGCCCTGCGCTTTAAAATGGAGTTTGACGAGTGATCAAGGTTCACCTGCCCGTGAACCCCTGAACACGGATCCATACCTTTTTTTCTTAGCCCCTTGCTCTGGCCGCCTCCTATGGAGGACGGGCTGGTGCCAGCTCCAGAGCTGGTGAAACCGGGAAACCAAGGCAGCCAAGGTAGGAGTTGATTGAAACCATGCGAGAGCGCGAGAACGTTTTCTTGTTTGGGGTGGTGTTTCAATAAGTTCAATGGCTCTGTTTCGCATGTTCCACCTAAGGTGGATCTGCTCTCTGTCCTTCCAAATGGGACATCACACTGAGCAGATGTGGACTCATGAGACGCGATTCTTCAGCATGGCGTACATGCTCATGCCCCGCGCCCAGTGCATCATACAAACGGCGCCTCAGCGATCCAGGGTTCACCCAGAAATACCCAAACCCCTCCAGAAACGCGGTGAGAATTCAAGGGCCTGCAGTTCCGCCCCTCGAACCTGCAAAACGTTCAAAAGACGTGATCAGGTTGACCCACCGGTGGTGTGTTCTTCGTGTGTCCGTTTCTTCGTGTCCATTTTCCCACGGACTCCGTGGAGCGAGCTGAAACACCTCGCGCCCAGCTTCCAGCAGAGACCCGATTGAGACGGTCGATGTCCAAGAGGGGGTGATTCAAATACCATTGCAGCTCCACCAGACTTTCCATGGGCACCTTGAGAGCAGCCACCGGGGGGGGCCGGAGCGAAAGCGGAGCGAAAGCGGAACAGGGGGCTATATACTTACTAGCTTGGTCCCTCAATCGACCTCAACGGCCACCAATACCTCTTCAGAGACTGGATGTGTCTTTTGTGTGGCCTTTCTTGGCAGATCCTCAAATCCAGCAGAGAACTCTCCGCTTGATTTGGCAATTTTCTCTTGCCCAATTTGGTGTTCAAAGCCTGCTTTCTTGCCTTGCCTGAGTGGACTCTTTCCTCTCAGCTTTCTGACTCGGCAATGCTTACTGGACATGGTAGTACCTCAGTGCGTGCATCACGATGCATCGCAGTGAGACTTGGAGGCAGTGGTTCGGCTGGTTGTTGCGGCAAAGAGGAAGACATGACCCAGATGCTCGGATTGGTGGAACTGCTACCGGTGTGCTCGCAGGTGTGCTGAACTGCAAGCACGCTTGTGTGTTCAATGCTTTCTGTTGCATTTTCGTTGCGATTTTGCTCCGTTCTGTGGCACGATGTTTCTACAGCATTGGATATGCCGAACAGCTTGCTGTTTCTGGGCATTTTCGGATGACGTGAGTTGCCCGGTGGTCGCGCGGTGAGGGCCGGTTGGTACGGGCGGAGCAGCGAGAGACCCACCCAGCGACCGGAGAAGCGTTGGAGAGGGCTCGCCGAGAGTTCGTCTTCATTCTTTTCTTCGGAACAGCTCTATGATTCTAGAGTTTAAAGTGGAACAAAAATTAACAACTAGAGTGTTTTCGTTGGAATAAATGGCCAGTTTGCCTAGCTGATGAGTGATCAAGGTCTCTGAACAGAGAATGAAAGGATGTTCATGGGAAACCTTGGACATGATCCCAGGTACACCGTGAGCGATCGTTGTGACCTATGTTGGAAGACGCACATGTGGCAAACCAGTAACCAAGCTTGTTCTTTTTCATCCTCTCCACAACCAAGGAAGAAAATACATGCAAATTCAAATGTTTCACATTTTGTTAAAGTTGTCTTGTCATGTCTTGTCTTGTCTTGGCTATAGAGTTCCTGGGTGTCTTGGGGTGTCCTGGATCTTTCACCTCTGTGAGTAATCCCACCTCATCCTTGTTGAACGTCACCAGTTGCTCCATGAAGTCCTGGAGAGATGACACGGGTGGAGACAGGTGAGGAACCATTAATCATTCCTCATAAATACGTATGTATGTGTGTACCACCCTCCAAGGGGTGTCTATTTATAGCCCCTTGGCTGTTAAGGGGTGTCCATTAACCACCCCTTGAGGGTCCGGGTATGTATATATATATAGAGAGAGAGAGAGATATTGGGAAGCAATGGTTACGTGCCCTACCAAGTCTTGATACCATAAGATTCAGATACATGTCACGTCCGTCATCGTGCTGGTGGGTGGCGAAGCTCCCCCACTTTCGTCACCGGTGGGTTCTTATCATGTTGGTCTGGCAATGCCTTCGAAAATCGCATCACCTGCCACGATTTCGCTTCAACAAGACTTGCAAAGGAGGACGCCACTTTTGTCTCAAGCACCAAGCATTGACGTCATCTCCTTGGCACCAAACATTTTCAGCAAGTCCTCAGTGTGATTGCTTGGGGGAGTCTGAAGAACCAAGGGGCCGCTTTTATATAGATGGAATTAAAGATAGAATGGTCATCCTCAAGCTCCAGTCCAACAACGCTGCCATCCTCTATGAGTCTATGTCTGTTGTCACTTTTTCTGATTATAGGATGCATCCTTGCCACCAGCCGCAAGGTACTTTTGGTGTCTGATTCCATCAGCCGGCATGAGTGGCTGGCTGATTCGGCCGGATGTACTTTGATAGCCCTCAATTCTGCCAAGTACAGTGGTTTCAGAGTAGATGGCAGAGTCCCCAAAAGGTGGTATGGATCGACCTGGATCTAAAAGACATCTTTAGGTTTGTGCCACATCTACTCTGAAAGCCACTGTACCTGGAATGCTGGGTCCATATAACACATATACAGTCACTCTACTCCGCAACCACACCGGTCTCATTCCGCCCCTCGCAGACTTTTGGCCTTTTGCGGTCAGCTGCCACGGTCCCATCTGGCTTTGGATGGGGAAACCAGTGCCACTTGGCCAAGTACATTATATGTTCAATATATATATATATATATGTTATATAGACCCCCAAATAGAAAGAAAAGAAGATCACCACTAACAGGAAACCATTTCTATCCATTGGGGAATCACTATAGAGACTTTGGCCCATGAACCAACTCCTTCTTTCGGCCTTGTCAAGTCGATCCCATGCTTTCTGCCTGAGGAATCCTTCTCTATATAATGACCTTTTCATCAACCTCCCCAAAAATCTTCGCCACCAGCCTTGCTGCCGAGCATCGTGCCAGCTGGCCCGCGGCGCTTGCAACAAGCAGGCCACGGCCTCGCCCACCAAGATGATCCCATGAGGCGGACTCTTCAGCGCTTTGATCTCCATGATCATCGCTTTCGACTGGCCGCGGGCGGCCGTGGGGTCAGCCGGCTGCTGCGCAAAGGGGCGTAGGACGAAAAAACACTGGTTGGCAAGTCCATTGATGTCAGTGGGTTGGGCATCGGTGGCCCGGGGAAAACACTCACCCGTTTTCCATGCCAGGACAAGGAAGAACGGCGGAAGATCGAGGCAGTGAGGATGTAACGAATCAGGGAAGGTTCTTTCGCTTTTTGATGTACTTTCTTCAGAACGCGCTTCCTGCCGAGTCGATGACCAGAACTGCTGCCGGTGGTAGACAAACAGCATGCCAAGCTAAGTCTTTCACTAGTAGAAATGCTCGACGTCGCTTGGAGGGCCAGATAGATTCAGATAGTCGACATGTTGATCATTTGAGCATCCTTTCCATCTGTTCCATCGAATGACCTCTTAATCTTTAGCTCATACGACTCGTTTCTCCGAACCCTCTTGGACCGGTTCACGCGGGGGGTTCGCCGAAACCGCGCGCCCAAGCGAAGCCGGACCAGTCCATTGAGCTTCTCCGTGATGTCTTCGAGAATCGGCTGCGCCTCTTCCAGCGTCATCCTGCGTCGAAACCGCTTCTCGGGCTGTTCCGACAAAACTTGGAACGGCATGCGATTCCGATCCGCAAGCTTGATCAGACGTGATGATGTCCAAATTTTGACACTCCGAAGGTCCCGACACCTTTAAAACTCATGGCCGTATCAACCCGTTCCACAGCTTGCCCATCGTCAGTCAAGACACTTGGTTCCAAAGTCGAACTGGGAGATAGCACATTGAACTTCACCACTTCCATTTGCAAAGCCCATGTCACTCAAGGCCCTGTACTCATCCTAAATCGAACGTGCCGAGGTGAAATGGGGCCACATGGGTGACAAGACTCAGACAAGTGGCGATGGCTTCCTCCCCGATGAAGAACTTAATGACCTGGCAGGGAACGCAAAAAGCACACCCTTCAACCAACCAGACTCCCACACCGCCATCAGGGCCACAGAAACCGCCTGAGTCTTCGTTTCTGGCAGCTTTTCGCGCAATGCGGCCGCCATCTCTTTGTAGGTCCAGGTTTGGGACGAATCCAAGGTCGCCATCACCTCTCCTGAGAGCTTGGAGCGACAGGTCAAGGTGCCGCTGGTCTTCGCCTGGAAGATGAGGGAGATCGGTTTTGTTTGGTCCAAAGATTTTGGATACAAGAAGTCTATGGCGACAAGAAGTCTATGGGTCTCTTGCTCTGGATTTTCATGCGACTGGACATCGAAGGGTGGTGAGAGGCTGTGGGACATACGAGGCGTGACCCAAGACAGGACAGCTGTGCAAAGGGACACATGAGGCGCGGTGACGGACATCAGCGCAGTGATCCAACATCTGGGAAAACCGCGTATGTCCTGATGTTGGGAAGAGCACCACCGTCTCTCTTCGTCACAGATGCTTTGGTTTTGAGCTCAGTCGTTTCCAAGGTTTCATGAGTTTTGCACGTTCCATGACCAAATGCTAAATTCTGCTAAATAGATACAAACTGAAACTTATGGGTGATCCTCTTTTCAAGACTGGAATGGTGACTGTCTCAGCTGTCAAAACAAATGGGAATCGCCTGTCAACCAAGCATGAAAATTGCTACTGCTAGAGCTACCAAGAGTTGATACTTCTGGACAAGTGCTTCTTTTTCACGTGCCCAGCCAAGGTGTATTTATCCGCAGTCTTTCCCCCCAAACCCGAGTGTTTCACCATCCCGTCGGTCTCACCGTCCCGTCGGTCGGCAGTGTCGGTCGGGGGTTTACCCTGCCTTCAAGAGCTTCAAAGCCTCCTGCAAGCTTTTCTGCGCCTGGCACAGCCCTGCGTTATACATGCGGAGCTGGAGTCAAAAATCCATGCGGTGTTTCGCATCTGAGATGAAACGAAGCCCACGGAGTCACACGAACATGGCTCGAAGCCGGTGGGTGTTTCGTATTTTCGGTCCACCCGCGCGGGTTCCACCCAAAGCATGAAACATGCCAAAGATGGAGAAAGCACCAGGTGTCTTCGGTCTTTGCTGCGCTTTTTGCATGTTTGGGGTCCCAAAGAGTTGAAGTTAAACCGAGTGTGGTCGCGGTGTACCTACCAGGTACACGCAGGTACTTCAAATCCAACAAAGGACCTCTACTCGTGACTAGAGGATGTGCACCTACCCGCGGGGGTATAGACCGCACTGCTCCTCTGCTACGCCAAACTAGCATAAATTCATAGAATTGTGCCCCAGATGAATTGCTCCTCTTCGTTACATGTTTGCTTGCAGATCAGCGCCAAGCGCCGCCAAGTGCCTCCGATGGAAGCTCTCCATAGGCCGATGCCACCTCTGCAGCCGACGCCTCCTCAGCGCGCAATGACGAAAGAGGAGGAAATCAGCGAAGATTGTATTTTTGGCAAGTGGGGGACACAAGGCTTTTGCTTTTCGACTTATTCGCTGGGAAGGGTCAACTTAGGGCTGAAAGAAGCTAGGCTTGAAACCAACTCTTTGGCTTTCGAAGACCATTCCAGCCGACCAAAAAGTCTCAGAAGGGGTCTCCCCAAATTGGAACCTTCGTTCCAGGTGTTCCAGGCACCTGCAATCGACAGATCCTTTTGTCCTTCCTCACCTCACGTGAGCTGAGCGCTCCAAGACTCCGAAAGCTTCGATTGTGCTCCGCTGCCCATGGCAGTCGATTGGGCTCCAAGACTCTAACGGCGTGCTGTCTTTGACAGCTTGCAGTCGAGCCGAATGGTGCGCAGCGCGAGAAGACGCCCAGATCTGTAAAGCGATGGCGGCTGCTGGTTTTGCCCTCACTGCTCGAATCGAATCAGAGTGAGAGCTCGAATCGAATCCGCCACGCGCCTGTGGGTCCAGTAACCAGGAGCTCGTGGTTTCACCTCAGAGCCATCGAACACAAAGAGCTTGAGCTACCGTGGGGAGACCGGGTGTCCTGTCGAGCGAGCGAGCGAGCGAGAGAGAGAGGGAGAGAGAACAAAAAAAATCATGCGCTGCCGCTCTATGCCCTCAAAATGCTCTCAAAAATACAGCAAAACGATGGGTTCAAACTGCTTCTATGGACTTGGCATGCTTGAGCAGTTTGCTTTCTATATCCCAAATGATCCAAACTGCATGCTTCGATCTTATCTCAATTTTCTCATTTTGGATCGGCAGGTTGCCTTTCCGCAACGATCCCTTCTCTTCTCGGTGGGTCCCCAGAGGCCCCGCGGCGACATAGTCCAAACCGAGGGGCCCATCCACCGACGATGAAGGAGATCGAACCCAGGGCCACCAGGGTCATCAAGCACAGGCCCACCTCAGCTTAAGCTAAGCCAAGGTGGTTGGGTGAAGATGGATAGATGGAGGATAGTGGTTGAGTTCCCCCATGAAAATTGCAAAGCTTACAAAAAGGAAACCTGCTCTTACTCGTCCCCTCAAATTACTCATCCCCTCAAGTTTCTTGGCGGACGAATGAAACAGGTTTGTTAGGAGAGCTTGGTCTCGCCGCTTGGTTTGTAGAGATGAGACCAACTGACTATATAGCTCATGACCAACTGATGCAATCCTCAGGTGACTCCCAGTGGCTCGCAGCCCCGTGAGCAACAGGACGTCAAGCTCCACCAAAAAGTTTGTGGATGGACCGGCACGGCAGCCACATAATTCCACAATTTTAAATGGAGATTAATGATGACCCGATGGATACATCTCACTATACATCTCACTGAAGTGAACCATGCCTTTTTAAAGTTTGCATCACTTTCTCACCTTCGCTTTGCCAGTTCTCGTGCGCAAGTGACCAGGCTCCCCACATCTAACATCAAGGCAAAGTGGCGCTCATCCTCGACCTGTCACGTTGGCCGATGCACACTCAAACAAAAGAAGAGGCCAATGAAACTGTCGAAAGCGTTTCTGTTTCGGGTCGATCTTGCCGTTGAAAGAGAGACCCGCAATCCAGGTTTCATGCCAGCGTTGAAACGGCCCGAACCTGCTAAGACAATCCAGAGACCAATTCAACACAGTTCAAACGATATAATACTCAGCTTATCGGGTTGAAAACAAAAAAACTCTGGGTGTGTACTAAAGTAGGGAGACTCGGGAGACTCCCCCAAAGACCTTTGGGGAAAGCAGAAACAGACTAAATCCATTGGTTGGGAGGTCGCCCTAGTATAATACAAACTCATTTACCCTCCAGCACGGGCGACACGTGTCCCCCATGAACCGGCCATCTTTTTCCAGAGCTGCACCACGTTCTCACACTCGTCCTATGGGCCACATGACATGAGGAAGCGAAAGAATGTGCACCAGTGCGTTCCCTTCTTTGATCCTTGCAACCAGCATTCGTGCAACTATGAGCGCAAAGAAAACAACGAGTTGAGACCGGCACTCCCCACTAGCATCACCTAGAATAATCATCGAATCATCTATGCCACTTCATGTTCTTTCAAATTCAACTCAAGCGAACGGATGCGCGTGAACAAATCGCAAACAGTGAAATACTAAAACATGTGACCCGCTCCTCCTGCGACTCCTGGAGGGCCGTGGCAGGGCGACCCAGACCAGATTGGCTTTCGGCCGGCATGTGTGGGTTTTTACGGAAAACGTGCGGAGAAGCCACCAATGACGTGCTGGTGATACAAAGGCTACGCCAGCATCCATCAACCCTCTGATTCAAGAAACAACATTCCCTTCTTTGCGCATATAGCCCTCTGTCATTATCTGTCGTTCATGTGAAAGGGGCACCGGTGAACGCACCGACTTCGACTCCAACCTGCGCCGCCAGGAGCCACAAGGAGCCAGCCATGGTGCAACACGGCGTTCGGCAGTTCTACACGTTTTCTTGTAAACACGTTTTTGGGCGCATCCTTAGTCCTTCGGGTTCCAGCTTTCAAAAAATTAGCCAGACGCTTCAGCAGTCCCCCCAAACCTGCCTCCAAAAAATCTAAAGCCGGGATTTGAAACTCCACATGCATTCCAAAAATGCAATTTCAGCCCTGCAACACGACAACCTGAGGCTCTGTGTGCTTTGTGATGGTGGAACGCGTCGAGGTCATGACCTTGGCAGGCTCATGAACTTCTCATGACCGAGGCCTTGAATGGAGAGCCTTATTGAAAACGCGCAAAATAGGCCGTTTCTGTTCCACCGGGCCAATCACCTACTGCATGGCAGCGCTTCTGACGGAAGGTCCTCGAAAGGTGCCGCGTGCTTCACCAAATGACCAAATGGCCACCGTGTGCATACGGCCATCCGCACATAGTGGCCCACATCAATGTCGGCCTGGGCTGGTTCTGGCTTGAGCCGAAGTGCCGTGGAACTTCATCGTGGCCAAGTTAAGCACGACTGGTGGCCTCAAATATGCCGCCACCATCTCCCTCACCGTGTCCTCGTCGAAACGGGCCACGGCCCCTCCTTCTCGGACTCTCGGATCTTCTGCGTCAAATCATCAATGAGGCTCTCTCGAAGTTCAGCGACTGAAGACAAATTGCAGCGGGGTGCTCCCTTGTATGTTCGATGTAGCCCAGAATGAAGGCGTGAAGATGCTGAAGTCCACATGCGCAGTCTCCCCCCCTCCTGACTTTGAAGCCTTTGATGGTGAATCCACTGCTGGAGCTGTTGCACGCTAGAAGAGGCCAGCTTGATCCTTTCCCTTCCTGTACTCCTGCCACGGCAATGCGCGTGCTGATGGCTGTCTTCATGTGTCGCACATGCCCCGTGTGTGATTAATGTAGTCCACCCCTGCCCAAGTCCTGACATCGTCAAGAGACGTCCAAGTGGCCAACTGTCCATCTAGCTCTGCTTCAATACCTGAACTCCGTTCAGCGTCAAGGCCGGTCCAGGATCCAATTAGCCAGCCAATGGCGAAGACGGACAGCGCAGTCCATTCGAGATACATGTCTCTCAACTGGGAGGTGTCCCTGCTGGGGGGGGCAAACACTTGACGGGACAGCTCCGAACGGGCCAACGGGGTTTCACGGGCCCTCAGCGGGCTCGCCACCGCGAGTGTAGCAGTAACCTCGGGCTGACAACGAAATCAACATCCGCATGCTGCTTGGCGCTCCTTAGTCTCCTAAAAACTAACGCCCTGCCCAACAAAGACCCAAAGTGTTTTCTAACACGAATTGCACGCGGGGTTTCACGAATGACCGGCCGTTCACGGGCCCAACGGGCCCAACGGGCCTGATGGGCATACAGGCTCTCAACGGGCCTTCCCAGGACCTCGGCCGGCCTGACAGAACAACGGGCCCAACGGGACTTCTGTATACGGGCCCTCTCAACTGGAGACCACCAGAATGACCACCGAAACAAAAACTCAAGACCAAAAGCCACCAAGTTTCATGTCAGCTCAATTTTCCTTCTGAAAAGGCATGAAACCATGATCCCCTTTGGATAAAGGCTGGTGGGCTCATGTGTTCCCTTCATTCCACTTCACTTCAGAACTTACTCTTAGCACCGGAAGACATTGGTCCGAGTCGTTCCATCTTGTCAAGATTTACTACTCTGCATCAGCAAATTGTGTCCTTTTGTCACTTCTTGCACTTTAAATGAAAACTGCTCTGTATGCTCCGTTCCAATCTTCTACCTTTGGCAAACCACGCTGGGGCCCGACAAAATGACCGCAGCCGCACAAGAGCATCAAAGACAGCGATACACTGGATCTCTGGCATGTCGGACGAGAGAAGGTGTTTCAAGATAGGTCTGCGTGCGATTGCGATCCAACCGCGAAGCTTACTTAACCACCATGGACCATGCATAGTTGTTTATCCATGCCCATTTGTTCAGCGAGCAAGTCATCACAAAAACGTGCTGACTCACATCAGATTTGGCAGGATACTCCTTTGCCTGCTGACATCGTGCTCATTATCCTGGTGAGACCGCGGTGGAGCTGCAATCGTCACAGGCAATCGTTGAACCCTTTCAGCCCTGCTAAGAGGCATTGGAGGTCGGGGATTGAAATGTGTCAAGGAAAACCAAACACCTTGCAACGCCACATTCTGTCAACTGCAAGAATTAAAGAACTCCTGGACTTAGACTCTCCAGCTGGTCAGATATCCCCGCTCTCAGCTGCAGGATTTGAAAAGTATGACATGACCCGCACTCTTGAGCCGTTGGCATTGAGAGAAAAAGAAGTCACCCCCAAAGCCAATGGTGTAAAGGACAATCTGGGCGTTTTTGAGAGAAATGTATTTGTTCTACGAAGAAGATCTTGGATTGCTATGTACATGTGACCACCACACCTAAGCCCCAGCAGCTCTCACTTGGCCACACCCGTCCTCAGACGCTCTCCCAAATCCAAAACAACAACTACACCCCCAAACGGTTTACCCTCTTTGTAGGGGCTTAGGTGGACGTGCCCTCTCAACTATTGCATGCTGTATATGTCTGCATGACAAGACTCTGGAACTGCTTCAAAACTCGGCCGTGAAGAGCCGTCCACTGGTGGCATTTGAGTCTGCGGCTCGATGCCATTCAATGCGAAGTTCTGGTGGATGATGTTGATCCTGCACCAAATTCCCTTCGCTCCGGTCTGCACGAAGTTTCGCCCCACAACTCCACGTCCGTTGTACGCTGATGTGGTGCATTTTCAGGATATTTGGATCAAGCAATATAGCAAAGGCCTGGCTAAGGTAAGGCCCTAGGTACTCCTGATTCAGAAGTATTGAAGCACCCACTCTTGGGTACTCAACCACTACTCAACCATCCTCGCAAAGTACCAACACCCCGTAGCCGTCCTACCCAAATCATGGGTCCTCAAAAGCACGTCCACACTGTCTTCGGTCCTGGAAATCGCCCGAAGAAGCGGGTGGAGGTGGAGGCGGCGAACAGGGTAGAGGTGGCCAGCATAAGAAATCGAGGTACGAAATGGTGAACCCTAAGGATCAAGTCTTGAGTCTTGATAGATCTGGCATTCTATACCAAGCTCGATGCCTTTTTTGAAGCCTGGAAGGAACACAATAGCTGTAAGAGGTTCAAACTCCTGGCCAATCTCCTGATTCTGCAGCCCAAAATCATCCACAAATATCAACAGCCCCAGGAGGGTGAGTCAACTTAATTAGTGATCTTCGCTTCGTGAAACCACCTCCCTTGCTTTTTGCTTCCCTCTATCAACATCGAGTTGCGGGTCCCTTGTCACTCGTTCGTTCACCTCCAAGATCAGAAGCAACCAGAAGCCACTTTGCCCACGCCCCGCGCGCGCCAAAATTCCACCTGAAACCTGGTCGGCTGCCACTGGCATCCGTCAGCGTGTCGTGGTTCTGCAACTCAGGGACAATCCTCAGGCTGCGGGTGGTGTGGCTTTGTGGTGTGGGACGTGCCTAGCGTCGACAGCGTCGACAGATGGTGAGGTCGCTTACAGTGAGGTCGCTGCCAAACGACCGGGAACTGTTTGGAGCTGTTTGGAGCGTGGCAAAGCCATGGACGGAAACCGGTCCAACTCGTGGGGTGCGAAAGAAACTGAGACCAGGCGTACCAAGCGCAGCGCGATGCGCGCGAATCTGTCTCAGGTTTCCGTACCCCAGCAAGAAGGATCTCAACCGGGACAGAAAGCGATTGCCTCAGAGCGAAGAGGGAACGGGCGAAGCTGAGTCGTCATGAACCGGTGGTGGCCAAGGAACCTCCTAAGGCCAACGCTATGAGTTGAAGGATGAATCTTGAGATATATAAATGTTCATGAAGCAACTTCCATCAAGGGGTACCAGGCGGAGAACTGGCAGTGGCCGATGCATCAAAGTGAAAGTACCAGCAAGGTGCGAGCTTTTACCTGCCATGCCTCCTTTGGCCCTCCTGTGCCTGTGTTCCTTTGTAGAAGTGATGATCCTGGTTCCTTTGTAGCTCAAATGAAGGGAAACCCGAAGCGGCGGGCTTCCGCCTTGTTCCGTACTTGACAGCAGTGGGGAGAGTCTCAATGCACACCTTCACCATTCACTTGCCTTTCACCATCGCACTTGACAAACCCAAACTGCAGGCACTAATTTAAACAGCTTCTGCAGAGTGTCATGTTAGATATAATGGACGAAGCACAATTCAGCCATTACTCAAGCACGGACCTTTTTGAGCGCGATCGCAGAGGCCCCAGGTCTGGACAGTTCGGCCACGGTTCCAAATGCAGGTAGACTGTCGATAGCGTTTTCGAACATGGGGGAACAGTGGATAAAGGTTTGGGAAAGGGAATGAAAAATAAGCACAGAACCTGTTGGCGATGCCAGACGCAACTTGAAAACCCATAAGACTTGGTGCGCTTGGTGGGGCTGTCCCCCCTGGGCGCCGCGAGGGCACTGCGGTGGAGACAAGAACTGAGTGGTTGGAATGTGTTTTGAAATTTTCTTAGATTCTTAGAGGTTTCACCTCGTGCTCCTTCCACTTGCAGACACCAAGATAAAACAAAGAATTCTCTGTCTCTATCTCCACAAAACTCTGGCAGGCTTCGAATTTCCACGTGGAATTGCGATTGCGCTTGGCGCTTTTTGTCTGTCCCTTTTTGGACAGACCGGAGTCGACAGTGGGCCACTGGCTTCAGAACGCGGCGATCACGCCGCACCTGTCGAGGCGAAGAGGTCGTTCCAAACCCAACGAAGCGTCCAACGAAGCCCAAACGTTTTTGGGGGATACATGCTATAGAACCATAATTTGAAAAGGTCAAAACGAACCCCAACCGTCCAAAACAATATAATAACAATATTTGATGCGTGTTATTAACTGGTTGTTTTTCCGGCCCCATGACATGCAAGGTCTTTCCCCTGGTTTTTCAAAAGCAAAAGACCACGGTGGCACTCCTGGTGTAGTGAGGATGTCCCCAGCGTACCAAAGAGCCATCACTTCGGACGGCCGTGAAAGCCACCTCAGAGGAGATCACCTGAGTGACCTGGCGGTTGCAAAACTCGCCTGATGTGCACATCGACGCTGGTCGTGTCCAAGAGGTTTGGCAAAAAAAGACATGGGACATGGACGGGTTGATCGATGTTTGGTCAGATTCTCAGAAGGCTTTGCTGGTGTGGGATCTGGATTGCTGAGTGGAACCTGATGGTGGAGGACTTGATGAAATGAATTTGTGAAAGCAAGCTGGTACAAGATTTTGATCCTCAACAATACACGTTGTCATCACCCTGACCATAATCAAGCTAGCAGGAAGAATCAATTAATCGGAGTTGTGTTCCCTTCTTGTTGGTAGGACGGTGGTGACGCTTGAAGCATCACTCCAAGCGAGAGTTCACGTGCATTCACAATGGATCGTAGTAATTACTCCCTTTCATCTAAGGGAGGGAGGGAGGGAGGGAGGGAGAAAGAAGGAAGAAAAGAAGGAAGGAAGGATGGATGGATGAATGGATGGATGAAAAGTAGGTGGAAAAAGGCTCTTGGAGAAAGCTGTGAACAGTTCCAAAGTGTGGCTTCTTGGTACAGAAATTCTCTGACCACCAAGACCACAGCTCATGTTTTCAGGAAGAAACTATTTTGAGAAGAAGACCGAGGATGTAAGTCGCATGTTCTGACCCGTTCAGGGCCGTGGAACACGCTCTTCGTCTTCGTGAATCTCTGAGAACCTCCAATTCTTCAAGCTTCACGAAACAGTTGGGCGGTCTAAACAGACTCTTAGATGTTTATCCCACTACTTCGATTTGAGATCTTCCAAGCACCGCATCCTCTCACATGAATTCATGATGTTCACCCTCTTCATCCCACCATCTTCCCGGGCGCCCCCTGGTCGCCTGCACCCCGTGTGCACCCCGCGTGACACAGACGCTGCTCCCCCAAACTCTCCTGCCTCGCTCTGGAGTGCCCTTTCCAGGTGCGAGGGCACCTCACCACCCATCAGTCGATGGCCCCAGGCCGTTACCGAGCCATTGGACCTCGCGAAGAATGAGAATCGGCCGTTGTGGGCTGATTCTCGGGCCAAAGGGGAGGAGTGCTGATGTCCGATGATCCAGCAAGTGTCCAGTGAGTTGTACCTATTCCAACATGACCACTGGCTGGTGTAGGTCCCTACCCCCATTACTTTGTCCCTATCTACATTTATATAAATGTTCTCTTTTCCTCCATCTGTCAAGCCACCTGAGTGCAGCAAAGGCCCCCAAGGTGGCAGCCACCTGCACCACCTCCTCCAAGGCGCCTTCGCCACCCAGGTCGCTCCGGCCGAAGCACCGTAGGCCACCGTGGGCCAAGAGCACGCAGAAGGCTCCACTGGTGGCGTAGAGCTCACGGACCGTGGAGGTGGACCTGGGTGAAAAGGAGAGAACCCGGATTTTTCAGAGATGACGGAACATGAGGACTGCCAGGACTGCTGTAGTTGGTGAGAAATCATGGAAAAATGACAAGCAGTCGGAGAGCAGCAAGTTCCTGGCTGAAGTCTCCAAAACTTTCTGCCTGAAGCATGCCAACTGCTTTCATTCTTGCACCTTAACAGGTCAATTTAGACCAGCCACAGCTCTTCCAGCAAATGACTGCAATCGCACTCATCTTGTTGACCCCATGTCACCATGGAGCCATCTTGAAGAATAGCTGCCTCAAAAATCCAAGATTTGAGATTGATTCTGCACAACTTGAATCACGTGTTAACCTACAAGACTCTTCAAACTATTCTTTTCAGCTACGACACGAAGCCAGCGTTGCTTCCAACCACCTCACGGATATTTTGCAGTTGAATCTCCGGCGCTTGCTTGACAGGACCCGAAAGTGCACCCCAGGTCACAATTCGGCCATCACTTCTGACCGCGGCAAAGGCTTTCTGGGCACAATGGATCTCTAGCACATCCACAAGCTGTGACTGAACCTGCCGGCTGTCCCCGCCATTCTCATGGCTTCCCCAGGTCACGATGGAGCCATCTTCTCGGAGCGCCGCCAACGCGCCCGCATTCGCAAAGAGCTTTCGCACCCGAACCAGTCGCTCTCCAGTTGCCCGAACATCTCCACCAGTGGAGGGATCACCCCAAACCACCACCTCACCCGAGGTCCTTCGGACAGCAAAGGCACCTCGCGTGGCCACCACTTGGCAGCACAGCTCCAAATCCTCGGACACCTCCCGACTGTCGCCGCCATGCCATGCACAACCCCACGTCAGTAGCTTACCCCACCGCGTCAGCGCGGCAAAGGCCCCATCCGTGCTGTGCAGGGCGCAGACCTCCACCAGCTGCGCGGCCACGGCGGAGCAATCGCCACCGGCGTCCGGGGAGCCCCAGGCCATCACTTCGCCGTTGGTTCTGGGGAAAAAGAGCAACTCGGGGAAGGATGGTGAAGTTCTACCAAAACAACCGAGCAAATGCACTCTTCCTAGACCTTCAGGGAATCATACAAGAACCTTTAAGCTGCGAAGGTCTTCCTTCCAGTCCTTATGGCTGCAAAGGCTTCTCTGGTCGCTTGTAAGTGGACGACCTGATGATCACCGACAAGAGTTCTTCGACAATCCACAAGGGTTCTTCCGGGCCTGGAACACCTCATGGCATCCAGATCGATGGTTCTTGAAAGCTCCCCACTTAGACTCCGTGGCTTTAATTCGTGAGGAGTTTGGCTCCAGGGCTGTCTGTTCCCGCCTTCAGACGAGCCCAGCCAAGTGGCAAACATGCGACTGCCAATGATTTGCAAAAGAACTCTGAAAGTTGCGAAATGGTTTTAAAGTCCAGCCCACCTGATGATAATAACCAGTAACTTAGGAGTACTTAGTATGCATAAATCCATGCATGTACATGGGATGATCGTCAAGCGTTCTGTGAACACGCATCATGGGTCATCTATGTTCCGAAACATTGGGTTCTTCGACCTATTATCTTTCCAATCGCCACTTCTCCCTGCCTCTGACAGCCGCTCCCGCAGCGCCCCGCGGCCTTTGCGGCCGACGACGGCCACGGCACCGCCAAGGCGCAGCGCCACGCAGTGCCTGCGCGCCGGTCCAGTCCACGGTGAAGTTGGAGACGGGGGGGACCTCCGTTTGGCAGGGGGAACCCCCTGTCCTGGTCCTGGCAAGAGACCCCAAACAGTGTGTCTAAAGGTCCAAGGTCTAGAGTGATGGTGGAGGTGATGGTGGTGATGATGGTTGTGGTGATGATAATGATGAAGGTGGCCACAAAATCTCCACGTCAAGGTCCACAAAGCACTGCGCCTGCGACAAAATATGCACTTCAAGGTCCGCAAACTACTGAACCCCCACTCCCCACAAAGTACTGCGCCTGCCACGAAATCTGCACCTCAAGGTCCATCAAAGTACTGCCACTGCCACGAAACCTGCACTTCAAGGTCCATCAAAGTACTGCCACTGCCACGAAACCTGCACTTCAAGGTCCACCAAGTCCTGCGCCTGCCACGAAATAAGTCTGCCTGCCATGTAGTCTGCACTTCAAGGTCCACAAAGTCCTGCGCCTGCCACAAAATCTGCGCTTTTCAAGGTCCACAAAGCACAAAATCTACACATCAAGATTCACATCGCGCAGCCCTGCCGAAACGATTCACGGCAAGAGCACTCACTTCCAAAGACAACATGAAGATGCCAAAACGCAGCTTTCGCTCGAGACTTCCTCCGACTTCTCAATCAAACCCCGCATGTCCAAAAGTCACGACTCACTGCTCCTGCCACGAAATCAGAGCACACAGAAGACCACCACCATGTCCAAAGCACTGCGCCTGCCACGAACTCTGCTCATCGACATAAAGCCGCTCCAATCTCCTCCACCTGTCACGCAAAAGCCGACTTTGGACCACCAAAAAACGAGGTTTCGCCTGCGCCTGTCACAAAAAGTGATCACCAAGCCCGAAAATGCGCACGGCACCACAACGAGAGTGCACTCTCGAAGAGCACCAGCGCCGGCCCACCAGATTCTGCGAGCCTGCGCAGTCGAAATGCACTTCGAAGATCTCAAGGTGAATGAATGTACCGTAAATAGCAGCGAATTAGCCGCAAACGGATGCGAGCACCTCGATCAGGCACCCGTCCTTAACAGACATATACCGTAGGAACTCCTAGTCTTACCACACTGTTTGGGAAAATGAAAAGCAATTGGAACACCTTTTTTGGGACGCTGCTTGGACGCCGATGTTTCTTTCCAAAGCCTCGGTCGCGTGCGGAACTGGTGGCCGTTCTGTGGAACGGGGAGTCACCCATCGTCACCCCGGAGCTGCGGAACGGCTCAGCCGGTGGAACCACGTTCGGGCGACCCGTTTCGGGGCTCTCAGGTTTTTGGGGCTGTGAGTGTTTGCGGTTTTTGCGTAGTATGTTTTGGCCAAACTTGAATTTGAATGGCTCCCCCTTTGATCAGTATCTGCAAGATACTTGCAAGTGAAAAGATTCATGCATGTACAATTCCAGTGTTGCTTCAAGAAGTCATCACGGAGTGTCCACTCATCAAACATTCCATGGGCAAGCCCGGCCTCTGCTTGTAGCATTGATCCCGTCGTCCATGAACCATTGTGGCTGTTAACTCCCCACCCAGAGCATCCTTCAACCTGTCAGGTGCTATCAATGAAGACAGTCAGAGTAGAGAGCACATCCAGATTCCGCTGGGTCCCATTCTTTGCACATCCAAGAAAGGGGGTGAAAAAAAAAAGAATAAGAACGTGCAGAACATGCTGGCCAACCCACTTCACGCAGAGGGGCCTTCAGAGTGACAAGTCTAGTGCAAATTGTCTGGATAGTTCCTTATTCGGACTTCAGATCTTCACCGATTGCCATCCACCCACCCTTCCTGTCCCCCTCCCTCTGTCAGCCTGGCATGCTGCTGCAGAAGGCCCTTTGAAGTCACTAAGCCCAAGATCGGAGCAACGCTCCTCACGACACGAGGACGCGCATCGCTATTAGTTAGACGAACGGTAGACCAAGCGGTGGAACGGACGAGTGGTTTTTTGCGCCGCGCGCGCGCGCTCTCGGTGTCTTCCAAAAGGGGCGGCAACGGTCCTATTTCTGACACCTGAACTGCGCTGCACTCTAGTGAAGTGTTAGAACAGTGGTTTGGGTCTGGACAGTCCCGCGAGTGAAACAGGGTGTGCACCGCTGTTATGGCCAATTATGTCCCGAACCAACCTCCCTGGCATTGCAGAACGAATATGGCTTGATGCTCGATGTTGCTTTCATGCCGACACTGTCCTAGAAGTCTCAGAACCAAAAGGGCTTCCGAAACCAGAACTGATGAACCGAAGACAAACAAAAAAGATGTGCAATGAAGAGAACAACACCGACGCCTCCAATCTGCCGGCCCTCCGGAAAACTGGGACGCCAGTGCCTGCCTCAACTCTAAGAGACGCATGAGCTCCGCCACGGAATGCTCCGGATCCACCTGGCGAGGTCGGCTATAGTCGGCTATCGTCGGCTCGTGTCGACCAGCGGAACAGCGCGGCCCCGGTTCCACGTGGAACGTGCGGCGGACCCAACCTGTAGGGAGATCGTTTCGCCGCTGAGATTGGCCACAGAGACACACAAGGCCATGGCGGCAAAGTCACAGACCGAGCAAAAGAGCACCGTTTACACGGTGGGGAAAAAGCCCTTGTGACCTTTTGGAGAGTTTGACCAGTTGAATTCCTGTTGAGTGAAGTGGTGTGGCCGAGGAGGCCCAACCCTGCCCCCTTGGAGAGGCAACACAGAAACTTTGCAAGAGCCCTGTCAGGGCCGATTTCCTTGAGCCACGTAAAAATACGCCAGTCCAGCAATTGACCCAACATACCCAAATGACTTCAATTCACTCTCTGGTCAACGTAGCTGTCCAGGAGCTGTGACCCCAAAGACCCGGCTGCGACACCATCTGTGCGAAACCGAAACCTCCACATCTCGGGATTTTACAAGTGGAAATTAAAAGGCTTGCAGTGTTCAATGATCTGCAAAATGAAGAACTCTGATTCTTCTTGTGCACTTGTGCACCATCTGCAGAACCGGCACAGCAAGGCGTAGCAGCACGCTCTCCAGGGCTGCTACCTGTTGGACGCCAACACTTACAAAGCACCTCAGTGCTCGCAGGAAAGTGGACCAAATTCTTGCACAGTAGTGAGAGGGACACCAGAAGAAGGGAAATCCACGAATTTGGCCGCACTAGTTTGGGGCCATGGCGGCCATAACCATGTTCCATCAGAACTCGCTTGTATATGCTTGTAAGCTTGTATATTACATAACTACAAACCGAGCCATTGGCTGCAACACAGGCCACGTTTACCAAAGATGTGACAATGATTTGAAGTCTCTACAGTGACTTAATAACTGCCAAGGGTGATGGTGAAAACGGGAAGACTTCAAGGCCTCTTGGAAGAGAGGGACTCATCGGTTTGTGAGGGACTCATCCGTTCCGATCGACCACAATAGTTTAAATACCTCCCCGGCTTGCTGTCGTCCCCGCCTCGACTGGACCTGGAGTTGATGGTAAAGCCCAAGTTCCATAACCTCAGAACTCGCGAGAGGAGCTGAACCGCTCGGCCGAGTTCTGAGAACAAACCGCTTCCAAATGGAACGGTTCTGAGGCTGCCAAAAGTTGGAGGTTCCTATCCCTTTAGAAAAATTTGATCCAACATGCCCCGAATGAGACTCTTGGTGTAAATCATCCAAGAGAAGGTTGATCCATTCTCTCCACCATCGCAAACGGGGATTTGTACCACCCAATGTGGGGTCCTTCCCAAGAATTCATGTTTGTGACTCCGCGTTCCTCAACCACTCGGCCAAACCCTCTGAACATGGAAGACAGAATACCGTCAATAAAGGAAAGAAACGTAGCGAGTTGAGAGCATCACTCGTCCACACTGGAAAATACGAAGTCTTTAGTCAGTCAAACACGGCTCGCCGGTCGCCCCCTGTCCCCCACCTGCGAGTCGATGTCGTCCGTGAGCATCAGCACCACGCACCACCAATTCCAAACGCGGCCAACCCTGGCAAAGCTCCAGTGTCACAGTGATTTCTGGGTTCTTGTTCGGTCGACGATGAAGTGCACAAGGAAAACACAGCTGAGTGATGTGAATGATGAAGTGCATGCATTACGTGATCTTGCAAGGCGACTGACTTGCACATCAGCTCAACCCCAACCCAAACCGGCCGCTCCGGCCATGGTTTGTCCTCGAAAGCGCAGTACCCCCAGACCCAAAGTGAAACACAAGTTGCAAGTCAGGCTGTTACCCGAAAACAAAGTGCTGTTGAATTTCTGGATGGCGAGCTGCATTTTGCAGCTTTCGTGAATCCACTTCGCCTGCTGCAGGGAACTCACGCATCCTCGCTTGCCAGTCACGAAGGTTAACCCTATGAGTGTGCCTCTTGCGTGGTCGATGGGGCAGAGTTTCTTGGGCTCGGGTCCCGGTGCAGAGAGGAGGATGACCACTTCCCCACGCGGTCAGCCACTTTGGGCCAAGAAAAACATCCAGAGAGGACTCCATCACTCACGATGGAAGTGGTGAGCAACATTGAACGTACGTTCCAAGGGCCACTGGGGCACATGAAACGACTCCAAATGAAAGAGAACCGGACATCCATTCGAGACCTCTTCGCCGTTCACTGATAGGATGTCAACCTCAAGAACCTCAGGAATCAGATCAAGGACAGGGTAATCCGCGGCAGAAGACTGATTCTGAGAGGCACAGAAGCTGCAAGGATGAGATATTTCAGATGTCATCAGTCTTTCTATCGAAGGAATCTGTTGAATGCCAGGTTAAAACACACTGGACACATCAGAGGTCATGCCTTTAATAGAGAAAGCGCGGTTCACCAAGTGTCTTTTTCCCACTCAGCAACCCTCAGCGTGGTTTATCATCTATGCCACACATTCCAAAGCCCCAATGCCTTCAACCTCGCTCGAGGTCGCAGAACAAGGCGTGCAGCGATCGTGCATCGCCGAGGGGCCGTGTCCGGCATCGTTGAAGTCCGAGTGGGCCGCCCCCATGAGCTTCCGCAGGATCTCCACTTCCTGCACATCCACGTCCCCACAAGAAGCGAAAGCTTCGGTTCGCAGGGCTGAACAGCGGCTGAACACTCGACAAGAAAAAGGGGGGATCCTCTCCGTCCTTTACTTTAGTCCCACAACTTGGCTATACAACACCTTCAAAAAAATGAAAAAGCTCCGCCCGACGTGCAGACGCTGCATCAAAGGGGGCCGAGGTGCTGCTCTGTGCGTTGAACAAAAGCCTTTCAGATGTGGGAAAAAGTGTCAACCACCGTTTTGAAAGAACCAGCGATTTGGAAAGCCTTACATACGTCAAAAAACAATGTCCTTGAATGACTTTGGCAAGTTCCACAACATTGGAAGAAAACTGGTTACTGGTTTCTTCACCCGCATGTTCACCGCAAAAAAGAAGAACAGGAAAAGAAACACCCTGTTTCCGGCCCTGATGGTCCTTGAGCTTTGTGGCGGGCGCCTGCAAAATGTTCCATGTTTCCGGAGTCTGGTTTACCCGTGGGGTGAGGGAGGAGCTCAGATTTCCGTTTAAATGTGACAAATCCCCAACGTGGTAAGTTCCTTTTCAGTGGTTCCAAGCTGTCCCGAGAAGAGGGTTCTGTCATGTCTGTTCACAGATCCCAACAATTAGACCCTCGTTTTCCTGATCCACCAAATGTTTTTGAAAGGTCGAGTCATGTGTGTCCTCGATCCATTCGGCTGGGCATCCACGCCTTTTCACTACCTCACAGCAGCTAAGCACACGCTCTGGTTGCAAAGTGTATCGACCACCTATGAAAAAGCACTGATTATATAATCTGACCTGGCAACGGAGAGCAAACCAGTTTTTCAACATGGATGTTGTTGGCCAGTCGCGATTCTTTCAAACAAACCAAGATCCAATGAACGTCTGAGGCCCGAGACCGTCGAGCATGCTCTCCTGGAAGGCACTGTGCCCCAAAAACGCGAAGTGTCATTTTGCTTGGGGGAACAACACGCAAAGTTTGTGAAGTGTTCAATAAAATTACACCGGCATAGTCCCCAGATAGCGGGTGTATAGGTTTAAAGGACACGCCACGGACGGCTGTCATCGCTGCACGCAACATCAGACCAGTCCCCAACACAGACATAAAACTGCAAGATCGGCAAGGACCGGCCAAAGCTGCCCAAACGACATGATGATCATTGCTGCACAACACAGTATCATGTAATATGACAGCACTTCATCCCTGGCATGACCTGATGTCACTGGCATGACATGATGTCATCCCTGGGCATGACAGATGTCATTCTGGGCATGACAGATGTCATTCTGGGCATGACATGATGTCACCCGTGGCATGACACGATGTCGCCCCTGGCATGACGCGATGGCATCCCTGGCGTGACCTGACGTCACCCCTGGCATGACATGATGTCATCCCCAGCATGATGCAAAACGCAACACCGATCCAGAGCCAGCGCCTGCACCAGCACCAGCACGGCACCAGCACCGGCCAAACAAAACGCTGACTCAGCACCAGCACCAGCACCAGCACCGATCCAGAGCCAGCGCACCACCAGGGCAGCAGCACCCGCAAAACGAAAGCACCAGCACCAGCACAGACGCAGCACCCGCAAAACAAAACGCAGCGCGCCTGCACTAGCACCAATACGGCACCAGCGCCAGCAAAACAAAACGCCGATCCAGCGCCAGCATCACCACGGCAGCAGCACCTGCCAAACCAAAACGCCGATCCAGAGCCAGCACCATTGAGAAGTAAGAACCCCTAAAGCCTGCAGCTATCTGGAGAACAATCTGAATTCCAACCATCTGATGGAATGGTTAAAATCCTTGCGGCCCGCATTGAGAGAGAGAGATTTTCCTTGAGAGTCAGTCATGCTTGCCTGTCTCGGAATGATGCAACAGCACGTCATCTTGCACAGTGCTGGTTGATTAGCGATTGACACGCGAGTAGGCCCTGGACGAAGAGAAATTGTCCTTCTTGGTGCTCCAAGCAGACATGGAGCAATCCAAAGCACATGTTCTTGAAATGTTCTCCTCAACCACCTAAAAAAAGACAAAACTCCGATCCACAGCTAGTATGTGCACCTGCACCAGCATCAGCACGGCAGCCCCCCGCAAAACCAAAACGCCGATCCACAGCCAGCACCCGCACCTGCACCAGCATCAGCACGCAGGATTCACCGCCATTAGAAGGGCAGAAGCACCCACAAAACCAAAACGCGGAGCAACAGCCAACACCTGCACCAGCAGAAGCACGGCAGCAGCACCCGGAGAACCAAAACGCCGATCCAGAGCCAGCACTGCACCTGCACCAGCAACAGCACGCAGGATCCACAGCCATTAGACGGCAGCAGCACCCGCGAAACCAAGACGCTGATCAACGGCCAACACCTGCACCTGCACCAGCATAAGCACAGCAGCAGCGCCCGCCAAACATCTTGCAACGTTCCTCATTTTTGCCATCCACGCCTCGGCTCACCCGCGCTGCCCTGCGGTCTCATGGGCGATGTCCTGGCCTGCGCGGAGACATTCTTACCAGTCAACATGCCTGCGCAAGATGCACTCCACGCGAGTACCTACTGTTTGCATCCCGCAGCGCACCAGCACCCAAGCTGCAACGGCACAGCACACAAGCTCCCCAGCGCACCCTGCAGCGGCACCAGCACCCAAGCTAACACAGCAGCGGCGCCCTGCAGCAGCACCCTGCAGCAGCACCCTGCGCGCAAGCTCCCAAGCGCACACGGCAGCAGCACTGCAGCGGCACCAGCACCCAAGCTCGAGCACGCACGCACGCAGCTCTTCCTACATTAGAACAACAGTGGCGCCCTGCAGCTGCACCAGCACCCAGTCTCGAAAACGCACACACACGCAACTCTTCCCATACCTGAAGCAAAAACCCACTAGCTCACACTATCTGGGGGAAAACCGTACACAGTACAAAAAGCTGCTTATCAGCGCCTATAAAAAGCTGCGGCCAATGGCAACACCACAAGCGGGCAGTACGCCACTGTGGCACGTGAGCCCACATGTGCGCAGGGTTGACAAGGCTGCTGCAAGCAAATTAGGGAACCTGCTCCAGAATGTCAGCATGTCAGGGTGACAAAGCGTCGGCTTGTTGGCCTGGCCCGTCAGCGTGCCAGCATTACAGCCTGACAAAGTGTCGGCGTGACACCATGTCAGTACAGCATGTCAGAAGAGACTCCACGTCAACTTGACAGCAAGTCAGCACGACAGCAAGTTACCATGACGGAGTGACATTTTGCTGGAATGCTGACACGACACACCGCAGGCCTTGCAAACATGGTAGCCTGACGGCGTCACCAAACGCCAGCACGCCAGCACTACGACATCTCAGCATCAAGCATGACAGCATGTCAGCAAATCTGCCAAATTGCTGCAGAGCTTGCTGAACTTCCTCCTCTGGGACTTGCACAGGAACCTGCTCCGGAACCTTGTCCGTAACCTGCTCAGGAACTTGCTTTTGGCTTTGGGGTGATTGGCTTCTTTGCTCACGAGCAGTGGTGACGTCCGACTGGCAACTTGCTTCAGCCCCAAGAAAAGCTTCCTTGTGACATCAGTCCAGTCAGTAGTATCTGCCTGACCGGAAAAATGTTGCAAGGAAGCTTTCTTGGAAAAAGCCTGCTCCAGAACTTGGTCCGGGACCTGCTCGGGAACTTTCCCCCGAACCTGCTCCGGAGCCTGCTCCAAAACCCGGACACTCTTCGGAACCTCCTCTGCAACCTGCTCTCCGGAATTTGCTCCAACCTCCAGAACCTACTCCTGCTCCGGAACCTGCTCTTGGACTTCGATCTGCTCTGCAGGAAGACCTCTAAGCTTCGCTGTTGGGGAACAATAATGATACACAAAAACAATTGCACCAACCAGATATGTAATAGTTATAAGTTATAAATCATATATATATATATATACGATATCTCCCCAAAACTATACCTTCCTCACCACCCTACTGCAAGCTCCCCAACAGAAAGCCTTCCAACTTCCAACCCTGCAACCCCTTACATCTCGCACACCGATTTTAAAGCAGAAAAGAACAAGAACATCGCCCAAAAACCACGGCACCGCCCCTTCCACCGCGCCTGTTCCGGGGTGTCACGCTCGAAGAGGCCACCAGATTCCATGAGGTCCATCAACTTCCCCAAGAGCCCTGCGACCGCGCCGCGGTCCCGGGTCGTGGGGACACCCTCACAACGGGCAGTCGCGGCGAACGTCGCGGTACGCCCGGCGTTGGACTCGCCGTCGGTCGGTCAGTAGTAGAACGGGGGTTGCTTGGAGGAGTTTCGTACGATGTTGGAGTGGTGGGGTTGGTGGCTGGCAACACGGCGGGCCAGGTTCTTTTGGGGTGCGCCATGAAAAGGACAGATTAGCAACAAGAGACTCGTCTTCCTTCCACTGGGGAGGTTGATGTTCAACACGGCAAAGGAGACTGAAGGACCCCTGACCCCCAGTGCTAGACCATAACCAGTACCGGGGTGTTGATCACCCAAGATGCAAATGTTTGTGGACATAGACAAGACAAGCTGTACTATGATTGTCTCAATGTTGAAAATGGCCAAAAATGGAAACAAAAAACGCAGCAGGCAAAAATAGACGCACCGTCCAACCTAAACCTACGCCATGCTGCCATTTCCTCCAACACCCTTCCTTCTGGGCCGGTACACCTTCTTCCTCCTCCTCCTTGAGACGGTTGGAGCTGAGATCCTTGGTGGGTTGATCCAGCCGGGGTGTCGTTTTGGTGCATAGATCAATCTGCTGTGGCATTGTACAATGTTCCATTAGAGGGCATGAGATCAGAACTGTTCGTTTGTATTCTTTTGTACAAATGCTATGGCAGATTCTGGCAGGATGTGGTATTGCATGGACTGGTATGGTGTGCTAGAATACGAAGCACGGATGCTTCATGAATTTCTGATGTCAGGCACACTCAAAGCTGCCAAAAAGAATAGTTGAATTGCACGAGGTGGCCTGTGGAGAGCATGAGTTGGAAAAGTCACAATGATTGAAATCCTATTGCAATCATCCAAATGAATCCAAATGCACAAATCAAGACCCAAAACGGAAACACTTAAAAAAGATTATCCCAGCAAGAGACCCCAAACAGTGTGTGTGAGGTCTGTAAGCAGAAAGTCTAGAGATCCAGACGCATTGGGGTCCAGGTGATGGTGGAGGTGGGTGTGAGTGAGAGTGAGAGTGTGTGCGAGTGAGAGGAATGTGAGTGAGAGCGAGAGCGAGTGTAGAGGTAGAGTGAGAGTGAGAGTGAGTGAGCGTGAGAGTGAGCGTGAGAGTGAGAGTGAGAGTGATGCGGGTGTGACTGTGAGTGAGTGTGAGAGTGAGTGTGAGTGTGAGTGCGAGTGTGAGTGAGTGCGAGTGTGAGTGAGAGGGAGTGAGAGTTTGCGAGTGTGAGTGAGAGTGAAGGTGGGTGCGAGTGAGTGTGGGTGAGAGTAAGTGAGCGTGAGTGAGAGTGAGAGTGAGTGTGAGAGTGCGTGCGGGTGAGCGAGTGTGCGTGAGTGAGAGTGAGTGTGAGTGGGAGTGAGTGTGGGTGTGACTGAGAGTGAGTGTGAGTGAAAGTGGAGAGTGAGAGTGGGAGAGTGAGAGATGAGCATCTGAGGGCATAAGGTACTGCGCCTGCTTCGAAATCTGCACTTCGAGGTTCACCAAGCGCTGTGCTTGCCACGAAATCTGCACTTCGAGGTTAACCATGCGCTGTGCCTGCCACGAAATCTGCACTTCGACTCACCAAGTGCTGCACCTGCCACGAAATCTGCAAACGAGCCACACATGTCCAAAAGTCACGATTCACTGCACCTGTCACGAAATCTGAGCTCTTCGACGATCACCACCATGTCCAAAGTGCTGCACCTGCCACGAAAATTGCATTTCGAAGTAAGACAGCTCCGATCCCTTGCACCTGTCACGAAAAGTCGACTTTGGAGCACCAAAACACGAGGTTTCTCTTGCACCTGCCACGAAAAGTGACCACCATATACCAAAATGCGCACGGCACCACAACGAGAGCGTAGTCGCCAGAAGCACCCGCCGCCGGCAGGCAGATTTTGCGAGCCTGCGCAGTCGAAATGCACATTGACGATGTCGAGAGGCATGAATGTACTGTAAATAGCAGCGAATTGGCCGGACACGCCCGCGCAGAACAGCGATCTAAGCACACCTGCTTTTCTACTACCGTAAGAACCCCTCAGTGTGCCCACACTGTTTGGGAATATATTATTTTTGTTGTTTTATTTATAAATATATATATATATTTAAAAAAAGAACATAAAAAGAAAAGCCGGGCCAGGCGATCCGGACCATGTAGGGGCGCAAGACAGTGGTGAGGTCTGGTTGTTGGGCATTGTAACGACATCGCCACCTCAAGAATTCTGCCAGAAACCAACCCCACCTCAGGGGCAGCCTGGGTCTATCTTCACTCGAGGACCTCGTCCTCTTGGTGTCTCTCTCTCTCTCTCTACTTCTAGTCCCCTCTGCTTCACAGTGGAAACAGCACGATCAGGGCTCGTCTTGGTGAATCTGCTGTTTTCTTCCAAGGTGCTCCCTGGCGTATCCCGAAAGCAAAAGGAAAAGCAAATGATATGTGTTGCATGGGTAAACAGGCCCAAAGAACAGACGAAAAGGGCCAGCAAAGAACGACTTGGCCTTCACGGTTCATGATGTTCATGCTGCTTGCGACTGCTTGCGGGCCGCAAGGGCGTCGTTCCTAGCTCGTTGCCTCAGCTCCCGGCAACAAATAGAGCTGGCTTCGGGGGTTTGGTCGCTTTGGCATACATCCACATTTGTCCTGACCACGGTCTTCAGCTGAGTTTCAGCCGGCAAAACTAACATTGAAAAACAACACATAAAGCGTCAAGCAAGACTATGAGCGATGCTGCCAGACGCAGTTTGAGATGCTCAACAAATGACACCTCCAGCACATGACTTTACGCAGCACATGATTCTGTCATGCCGCCATGCCAGTGTCATCATTCTATCATAGTCCATCCAAGAACCGTGTGGCATGCCTTCCCATCCCATCTGTCCCAATCAACAGCTCCACAGCGCTCATCACATACCACACACCTCGTAGTGAATGCACCTGATCTTTTGCGCCGTTCCGACACCAGGTGCATTTCAGTTCCCCCCACCTCAAAAGAATAAGAGGCCAATCAAGCAAAAAAAGATACACAAACAGAAATGAGACACCCACACCGTATGCTCCCTCAACTTTAATCAATCCAGCTCAAATCCTCATATTTGATCACTGCATCCCATTCAGTGAATCCTATCCGCTGAAATGTGATCCAGAAATCCGCTGATTTCGCTGCGTCCAACCAATGAGGGCCTCGTCCGTCCGTTGGTGGCCTCCCCGCCCCCGAGGGCCACGCAACATTCATCCACGCAAGGGCACTGGACCTGAGGTGTCAATGCGTGTGGGAGTGGTGTCCAGGGCGTGTCCTGGGCTTCGGAAGCAAACCTGGGCTTCCGAACCGGTGGATGGACAGGATTGCTCCACAAGGGAGGGTCCACCTTTCAGCCGAGAAAAGAATCAACTCAAGCTGGCTGCACATGTTCAGCCAGAGTACTGAGGTTTCTTGGGGATGTTTGCTCTCTCGCTTCGTGCCTTCACTCCCAAAGCATCAACAAATGGTTTTAAAAAACGCACAGCGCTGGCTGCGCACAGGAACACCAGGAACACCAAACTGCTTCCCCAGCGAACACAACCAAGGCGATCACCACGTCGATGGTCAAGCTGTGAAGGCGTTGAGATGCTTTGGTCAAGGCATTGCGAAGCCAAAGCTGCTTGAAACCCACCACAAAGTACCAGGTTTGGGAATGCTAGGGAGGCACCTGAAGGCTGTGGTTTGCAAAGTACCAGGTCATTCCGTATATGTCCTGATGGCCTCGACCCAAAAAAAAGAAGCGTCTGTTGGGGGACAATGCATCTATTGAAACCCCCCAAACCCATCCAAACCCTCCGAACTCGAGTGGCCTGTGACTCAGAGGAGAAGCTCAGCATCGCCGTGTAATTGAGGAACGACATGGTGTTGGGTAAACTGGTGGACTCAGAGCCGACCGGCGAGGAAGACAATCCGAAGACGATCCGAAGACGACTGTCGGAGAAACGAACGAAAAAAACTGCTAATTGATCGAAAGGACAAGTAGTAGTGTCCTTGCCCCTAGTAGCGATGCCAGGAGCCCCTAGTAGCTTCAAGAAGTAAGGCCAGGAGCCCCTAATAGTGTCTTTGCTCCTAGCAGCGATGCCCTTTGTTCCGTTCGAAGCGTCCTCTTGCTCCTAGTAGCGATGCCAGGAGTTACTAGTAGCGTCCTTGCTCCTATGTACATGTTTGGGCTGTTGAAGCTGAAGAAAGGGAAGAGAATAGCAGCTCAGAAGGCTTTTCACTTGGTCTCTGGCATCTGTGCACTTGGTCCTTAGAGCCCGAGGAGCAGACGATGATCAAAGACAGATGTGTCGGTCCAGGGGTCCAGGAGCTTGCCAACAAGCCAGCTAGAGCCACTAACCCAGCTGACTGGACATGCCGAGCTGACTGGACATGCCCATCAAGTGATTGCTCAATGACTTGTCCACTGGATCGATCGAGCGGCAAGCAGCCGCACCAGCATGCACCCCAGCAAAGGCAGGTCTTGCAGTCGAAGGTCTGCACGGTGGCAACAACAAGGGTCTTTCCAAGACGAGTGCAAGTTCTTTCAGGTAAAATCTTCGGTGATGTGACATTTCATATCAAGGGCCTCCTGAAAACGTGTCGACATGGTGGCCTACGCACTGACGAGAAGATCAGCTGCCCGCCTTGTACCACCGCCGGTCTCCACCGGGTGCGTCGTCGGAACGACGCCTTCAACGAACGGCGCGCCTTGTACAAGGGTCGTTGCCACAGAAAGACCCGATCGGTGGTCACAATGACGTCCGTCGTGGAGTTGTAGGGAGACCTCGAGCCGAGACGAGTTGTAGGGGCGACTGAAGTCGCGATTGACGAAGCGACGAAGAAAGAAGGCTCTCTTTACCACAAAATGACCATCTGCGAGGTGACCTGTTCTTTTGGAATGTTTTTTTCTGTGAAATCTGCAGATGTCACATGATTCTGAGCTATATGATATATGAGTTGACCTGTTTTGCCCTGGACTGGACTTCGCGAATCCGCAGAAGCGAAGCGAACCCAAGGCACCGGGCGCTAGCACACCTGCCTGGCGACGGAGCCGTGGGGAGTCAGACTCAGTGGCCACAGAGGGGTGTGTATTGAAATAGGTTGACACTTCCCAGCTGGGTGATGTCGTATCAAAGGTCTATGATCGCAACCGGAAAGGTCTGGGTTAGTGATTCTCTTAAAGTTTGAAGAAACAACACCGACTGGTGACATGCCTAAACCCAGCCTCACTCCCAGACCAGTGGTACAGCATCGTTTCCTTCTCATCGCACAAGTAGATGTCCGGAGATCGGGAGACCTGGGCGACGACACATCGCGGGCACCCAACTGGACACCTCGAGCACGAGACCGATCGGTTCTTTTGGAAGCAGGCATGTCCGACGCTGTGCTTGGAGAGTATTCCAACACCCACATGAGGATTCGCAGTTTCGATTCTGAGTACACCTTTGTTGTGGCCACCGGGCTCCGCTGTTTCGATTCTTTGTGGACTCGGGAACACCTCTCCTCATCTGGGGCGCCAGCAACATCTGTCGGTTGCAAGTGGATGTCCCAAACGCCCTTCACCGGGTTTCCCTCGGTGAAGAGGCGAAGAGACGAACCACGCCACGTTACGGACACGATCGAGCGATGAGAAACATATGAAAACGCTTCATCTTCTGCCAGAAGAAAGCTGAGCCATCTTCCCACAACTGGCCGGCAGATCTTCCCCGCCCCTCGGCCTGTTTGTCTTTCTTGACGTAAAGGCCTTTCTCCACGGCCATCTCACATTCCTTCAACAGCGCTTCGCTACAGCCCGCCTCCGTGAACGCTCGGACCAAGCGAAAGGACAGGACAACGCTGATTCGCTTCACCTCTCTTCAGTATCTTCAGTCCTATAGTGAGTTGTGATTGTTTGTAAAACCATGTCTTGCAGGTCATGCCAATCATGCCAACCCAAACCCTGCAGCATCTGACATGTATCTGTGCTACGGCAGTTTCCGTTTCCTGGGCCAGTCATGGGTCGACCCCCCACCCGCTTGCTCTGGCAACCGTCCGCCGAAAGCGTGGCAAACCGTCCGATGCCCTTTGCTCCGTTCGTTTCGTCCTTGCTCCTGGTAGTAAGGCCAGGAGCCCCTAGTAGTGTCCTTGAGTAGCGTCCGATCTGCTCCTAGCAGGCGATGCCCCTTTGCTCCCGTTCGTAGCGTCCTCTCCGCACCTTTCGGAGGCGCTCCAGGGTGATCTTGTCACCCTTACTGGTGCGCGCCAGCTGCGAGGCGACGTGGAAGACGTCAAAGGCGTTGCCTCGGAGGCCCGGTCAGGGGGACAAGACTCTGGGGGCGAACGAGGCAGGGGGCACCGGTGAGGTTCGTTCCGGTCAACGAGCCATTCCTTCTGCGCGGAGACTTGTAGACTTGAGGCTGCTGAAGAACCATGAGTCTTTCAGATTGCACCCAAGCAACTTGAGTGCCCCTAGCTAGGCCGAACAACTCGATCACTTCTGGGAGTCTATGAGTGTTACTCCAAATTGAGCTTGTGTTTGGTCGACATCCACTGGGTTCCAGACCGTTCTCGCGCACCAACTTCAGCACTCCAAGCTTGCTTTGCATGTAGACCCTTGACATAGAAATAGATCGCAGCGGTGAGAGATGAAGGCAGAAACCAATCACCCAAACCTTTCATCACGTCAATAAAGACATCTTGGTTCAAGCTTCTACTATCCAGTACCATGTATATGAGCTAGAAACACTCAGGGAGTGACTTCTTCAACTTTTTGGTCTTTGTCTTCGTCTTTCTTCGTCCTTCTCCTTCTCCTTCTCCTTCTCCTGCTCCTGCTCCTGCTCCTGCTCCTTCTCATGCTCCTTCTCCTTCTCCGTCTTCTTCTTCGTCATCGACTGGGAGTCAGGCATGCCAGGCATGTAGCGGTAACCCATGACTCTCATGTAAAATGGCCTTGGAGCACCAGGAAAAGGTTGCAAACGAAATGTATATAATCCACTGAAACTGTCGGGGGGTTAAGTTGCACTTTACACAAGTTCATCTAGGACATCCTGAGCTGCACATCACGCACCATCAAAATCACAGGTCTTTCACAGCAAGTGGAGCTGTAAAGGATTGTAAAGGTCATTTATTCTAAATTTTGAATATAATGCTGCATATCTGATCCCAATATTTTAACTTCTCTCCATCAAAAGACCGTGACACTTGAGTGGCCAGCAGTTTGGTGGTCGTGCACTTGCCATAAATCAAGGCCCGGTCATGCCGGAAGGCATCCACCTCAAAAGGATTGACAAAATCTAAGCTTAGACAACTGCAGACAACGAACAATCTACTGGGATCGCTGGCAAGATCTTGGACAAATTCAGTAGATTGTTTTGACTACGTCTACGTGGATATCCCTGGCAGCCCCACACCTGAGGGACATGTTGCCTTTCTTTCTGGGGCGCCTGGCTCGAAGGTCCGAGCCTAAGATCGATGTCCCGGGCAGTCGAAACTTCTGACCTCAGCGGTCAGCAGCGCGCGGTTCGTTCTGAGTGTAGACGAGAGTGGCGAACCACAACCCAAGACAATACCGAAGATCAGCCCAAAATGATAAGATCAGCAGCCAAAGACGTCATCTTGCGACTCAGGCGCCATGTCCGTCTCCCAACAATCACCGCCACGACACGATGTTGTAACCACCTATAAACAGGTTCCCCAAACGCGGTGAGGTGAGCCCCCAACGCACGTAGAAGAGCCGCATGTCGGTGACGACCACCGCGTGCATGAAGCTTCGAAACTCCACGAAGAAACCTTCCGGAGACTCGCAGGCAATGTCGGTGACGCCCCCGTTCGTCCGGGGAGAGACGGACGAGGCCAGGCTGGGAGGAAGACCATGGGGGGGAAGGAAGAGAGCAGCGTGGGGCACCGTGGGGTGAATTCGTGTTTTTTTATTTGGTGAAAAGAAAGACTCATCCAAAGTTACTTTATCACAGCCATCGAAGTGACTTCTTCTAATGACTATACCTTTGGCAAGTTGATGCTTTAGGATGCTCAGACACCCGTCACCCGTCCATAGCCAGAGCTCAACAAGACTCTGCCAAAGGACCCCAGGCGTCCACTGCTTGTCCTGTGATCAAGCCCCCTGAACACAACTAGTTCGGACGTCCATGGGGAGATCGCCCCGGTCTCCTTGAGGAAGGGACGACCCCGGGTCAAACGGGGTCCACGAGTGCCGACGAGTTGGCTACGCTGGAAGGACCAAGTTCTGCCATCGAGCCGCGGAAGGCGATGTGCAGGATGGTGAAGAGGAGTCCAGCCACGAAGGCCTCCAGTACCTCGAAAAAGGACGTGTAGACTCGTTCGGAGAAAAGACAGTTGCTAGGACCAGGAGTGAAGGGAGTGACTACATTGATGGCCACCAAGACGTCTCTCTCCGAAAAAATGAAAGAAACTGTGCCTTCATCCGCCTCCCAATCCCCCAAGAAATGGAAGCATCCGGGAAAAAAGGACCCACCAGCTCCCCCAAAAACAGCACCGCTTTTCCGTCCTCCAATCGGGCGATAGCCATCACCGAACTCACCGGCACCTTGGTGGCTCCCACGAAGACGTGCTTGCCGACGACCACCTTCTGTGTCGGAGCGACGATGAAGACCTCGGAGCATTGGGTCGGTGTTTCGTTTTCCGAAAAGGGAGGGAGGGAGGGAAGGAACAGAAAGAGGTCTCAAATGAGAATGAGCCAGTTCAGTGGTGAACTTGTGAAACAAAAATTGGTTTTAGATTCTTAGATGTGTTCTCGTTTTTTGAAGTGGGGACCTCATCAGCAGAGAACCAAATGTGTGCTCTGGGAACCAAAGCCAGTGGGGGCGAGCTGGTATTCCAAAATTTGCGAAAACATGAGACCATCCGAGCCACCACCACTGCAACAATGAGGCCATAGAGCACAGAAGGACCCAAGTCGCTGAACCTGGTGCATGTGCTGGACTGTGTCGCACAGCGATGGGCTTAGCAGTCTTATGAGGCATATTATATAAGCCAGCATGTCTGACTGTCAAGCATTCAAGGTTGAAGTAGCAGACTCTCGTCCTCCAATGCTCAAAGATCGGGCGACCTACACGGTTCGGCTTTTAAGAATGTGAGTGGTATGTGGTCTGACGACACCCCTCCCTTTTCACCTCTGCGTCTAAACACGAGGACCTTGATCTCAGAAAACTGACGGCGGTTGGCACCCCCAACGACTCCGCTGATGGCCGCAGGGGCGGTACCGGCATCACCGGCATCACCGCTCCGAACAGCGACGACCAGGCACCTCATGCGCTCCATCTCCGACCACGCCGCGACCACCTGAGCCGGGTGACCCGAGCCTGGTCCGGACCGAAACGGAACGGCAAACAACGGTGAAAGGAAGCCCAAACGCAGGGAATCGTCCAAAGCATTTCAGACAGGCCGCACACAACAATCCATTGGAGTTCCATGAAACATCTGCTTTCAATAGAATTTGCCGCAGGACTTTTGTCACGACCAGTTCATCCTTCACATCACACATGGGCGAATCGCCATCTCTGCCTGCTCGTTTTTGTGGAGTCCCAATGCTTTCGTCGGCACATGCACGGTCCTTAACAGACAACGACAAACAACTATGCAAGCTTGGGCCCCACAAAATTGACAATCAACCTTGTACATCCCAATCAGTCCAAACCATGCTGCAGCTGGAAGACGACGAACGACCATCGACATGCAAATCAAGCACTTAACCAAGAAAGCTTGAGGCCAACAATTTGTATAACGTGCTTCCGTCAGAATGCAGCATGGAATTGGAATTGTCGACTGTTGCTCTGGTCTCAAGCCAAGCGTCATAAGCATGGTACTCAAGTTCATTTCGATAATGGCCTTTTCCTTCAAGAATTCCTGGCAAAGCATGACATTCAGCCTACATGCAATGGTACGACCAAGAGCGCTCATGGTACGACGTGAGCGTTTTGACGCTCAAAGGAGATTGTGAGCTGGCCCCACGAACTGCGAAAAAGCCAAACCCTTCTTGGAAGCCAATCCCCTCCGAGATGATCCCCCAAAACAACCTGAGGCTTCAGTCCGATGCCCAATCCTCCCACCTTCCCAGATCGAAATCGAAACACGAGGACTTCGCCCCGGCGCCTCCCAGCTCGGGTCGCCGGCATCCTCCTTGAAGGCCTTCACACCACGGTCCTGCTCGGTTTGGGGGTGGCCCTGTCGACCCAGACAGGAAGAGACCTTGAAACACATCAGCAAGGCCTCAATCACTGCTGAAACAAAGGCAAAACGACTTGAACAAGTACGCGTGAACAGTGTATGTCTTCAGACTCTACCAAGGTGGACCTGCTATGTCAATGGCTACAGCACCATCTTTGCTTTGCAAACTCAAAGAGTTTCAACGATGTAGCCACCAGTTCTTGCCTCTCAAGGCTTCCATTGATTGGTGCAGCTTCTCCACCGTTGACTCAAGCATTCACCCAGAAGTTCTGAAGCAGCGATCAATCGCCCCCGCAGCGGAAACAGTTCGCCACTGGTCCTTTTCCTCACCTTCAAGATCGGGATTGGGATCCGCCACCATCTGCTGGTCCTGCAGGAGAGAAGCTGCAAACCACACCGGCTCGACGGTCGAACCTGCGTGCAATGACTCGCTGGGTATTGTGCATCGAAGGAAATAAAGCATCTGAGTTCGGCCAATAACACAAAGAGAGGGCACACCCCATGAGATCTTGCGCGTTATCTATGCACAAAAGCCCCAGGTACGTTGAACAAAACACATGTCCAGGTACGTTCAGGTCTTCGTCAGGTCTGAAGAGCTGAACACCAAGGGACGGCATCACGGCGGACCATGGCACCCGAGGACTCGGGTCGGCTGCCACCCGAGCAGCCAAAACCGTTCTGGATTGGATCGAGACCGCTGGGCATCTGAGGAAGTGTGTGAACAGCTTCGACTAGCAACAAGCCACAGATCAAAACTTCCTTAGTCGTTGGGGCCTTGGAATCTGAAGCTGGCAACAACCTGTGGCTGCAGTGACTGCAATCTGTTTAGGCGCGTTCAGTCCTCCTGGCCTTCCCAAGCCTCCATGGGTCATGGCGAAGTCATTGATGGGTCATCCGATTGTCACTCACTCAATGTCTCTCACTCAATGTCTCACACTGTCCCCCTTTTTCACGAGGCAAACACTGTCTTTTCTACAAGGTCCACAACTGTTTAGCCTTGGTAGAAGAAACGAGACAGTGGCACCAGTTCCAGTGATTTCACGATGGGCGAGCTGTTGACTAGGGAAATCTAGAAGTCGCTCCAGACCAAAAGGCAAAAGGGTCTGATCATCTGCTGCGAGACAACAAACACTTTGGGAACTATAACGTGAGGCATTCTCTTAAACGAGCAAAAACAGGCTTTCCAAAGCCAATCCAGAAAAGGTCCATAATGCAAGCAACACGATCCGTCTGCTAACATTCCTGCGCCAGGCCTTCCTCACACCTTCCTCAACACCAAAACCAGGCTGACCCCACTGCCGTCCTCCAGCCGATCCGGTCCCCCAACAAAAAGAACCACGAGGTCGATGTCCAGCGTCCGCGGAGATACGGAATGCGGCACGCTGTGCGCGGCACGGAATGGCTCGCCTCCACGAACATCTTCGCCAAAAAGTCCAACGCCAACGGCTCCACCGTGCTGAAGTCGTTCAGCGGACTGACGCGCAGCAGCAGCAGCACAGCCCCCGACCCTACCGCCCAGGACCAATGAGAAACCGCCCGCGGGAGGTCTTCTGCGTCTTTTCTCCGCGGTCAGGGTGAACATGGGAGGAAAAAGGGTGCGAAGGGTCCGACCCATTTCCCCAGTGTAGGGAAAAGGGATTGATGTCGTGGGGGCCCCAAAACATCCCAAAACCCCCACACTCCGAGTCTTCCACCTATGCATCGTTCTTGGATCCCATTACTATTTGTGTGCGTGTGTGCCGAGATCTCTTGTCATCGCTTTCACAAAGAAGGCCTCGACATAAACTGATGTAGAGCCAAAACTGATCTACAGTAATACTAACTACGAACTATAATGACTATATATATATATAAAGACTCGTCAGCCTCCTTTTCTAGTTCGCTCTGCAGCAAGTTTGTCAAAATAATAGTAAACAGTCAGAGAAAACTACGAAAAAAGAAACCGACCAGGATGGGTACCCCCCCTTCTTTGGTCCACTACACAAAGAAGGGGACGAACCCGGGTAACCCTCCCCCCCAACCAGGCGGGCCAGACCCCAGTCCCTGGCCAGGTCCTGGGGAATTAAAAAGGAGCCTTTTTTCGCTCTTCATGAGCTTCTAGAAGGTCTCTTAAGGGTTTTCTTACCCTTCTTTCCACGTCCCCCGAGCCGCCGAGTTCCGGCGGACGGCCTGCTGCTTTGCAGCGGCTCAAGTGTTTTAAAAGACTTGGGGGTGGAATTTGCAAAGAAAGTACGGTATGGTGTCAAAAACTGCTGAAAGGGACCAAGTTGCATTTCTGTCAAAACGGCTCTTGACTCGTTCAAATATAAACGAGCCGTTTTTTGGGCTTGCCAGCGACCTAGAAGCATTACGCGATCTAGGTTCCCATGCTGGCAAAACCACCATGTAGCCCCTCCCCTTCGGAGAGAGTATGGTCTCAGGTCTAGGGGCTCCAGGTGCAGGGCTTCTATGCACGTTTTAAAAAGTTTGCGCCAACGGGCCGCTGGCGGACAAAGTCGCTGGTGTGAACTAGCAAGGGACATCCATTGTTGCAAGTAACGGAAAGCTGTGTCATGGCCTACCGTGACACTTTCCTGTGCGCCAGCCCTCTTGCCGGCTTTTGTCAGGCCAAGACTTACAACAGCCACTCGGAGGTTTTCGGAAACATCGATCCGACGCTTGGTAACATCTAGCAATTCACCCGTGCGTAGGGTGCCGTAAAAACAAAGTAAAAGGCTGGTAGCAAAGGAAAAATGCTGATGGTATAAGGCCCATCCGACCATGGAGTGGAGGGTGGTTTCAGGCATGGGTGGAGCCCTGTTGGGCAGTTCGTGCGTGACCCACGTTTTGACAAGGCGCCAGGCACCAGGGAGTTGCCCCCGAATTTTCGCGTCAAAGTCCTGCAATGACGCCAGGGTGTCGGCGGCCAGTCCACGCCCCTCCCCGGTGCGCCAGAGATGCTCTATGTATTCCATCACGAGAGGGTCTAGCAGGCTGCGACGGGTAGGCAACTCCAAACCTTCCTCTTTGAGAAAGGTCAGGAAGCGAGTCAAAGCTCGATCATATCGCACACGTGTGGCGGGTTGGACCGTAAGGCCCCTCAAAGTACCTAACCTTTGCCTTTCTTTCGCTCTACTGGCTTGAGTGGTCCCCTCAAGTACGACCTTTGGCATGCTTGAACTTCGTCTTCACTGACCACCGCGACGGCTTATCCGC